CACGCACTGCTGGTAGAAATAAGCAGTCTGTATAACCGCTGCTGGGAGAGGACACTGGAAGTTTTGTACATGGTTTCTCCTAGACTCTATCCGATGCACCTTTTTCCTTTTCTAAATTGTAATGCTTTTTGTGTTTATTGGGGTGACATTGGTCAACAAAATTATGTTTCAGGTGTACAGCTCTATAGTACGTCATCTGCATATTGTATTGTGTGTTCACCACCCCAAGTCGAATTTCCTTCCGTCACTATTTATCCCTCCTTTGCCCTCTTCTACCTCCCCCACCCCCTTCCCTTGTGTGGTTTTTTTTGCATTGTAATAACCATACCTATGAGTATAACAACTTTTCCCAAATCTATGACTCCTTCTAATGAACTCAAATGTGTTCTTGAGGAACCCCCATACTTTTGATAAGCTTCAATAAAGGTAAATGAACAAATTAGTATCTGTTTTGCATCTGGTATTTGGAGATTTAAAAAAAAACAACCTTGGCCATTAATGTTCATGCAGTTGGTTTATTAGGGCACACTCTCAGCACCACAGCCCGTAGGCATGTGAGGGAGCACGGCTGCCAGGAGCTGAGCGCTGAAACATGACAGTTGCACCAGAGTCCCCAGGCAATCTGCAGGGAGATGTGGGCATGGAAGAGCCTGACCGTTACTGGGTGCACGCAGTCCTTCAGGGTTGTAACATTGAAGGGTGTACCCCCTTTGACCAAGGAATTCCAAGGAACAGTATTATGCACTGCCGTACCCTTGTGGTGGCTCATCTACCTTGATCATAAAGATGATGCATTTTATTTATCATTGCGATGGGTTATTTGGATCAGTACCTGGGCGGGGGCGAGGCGGGGGAGGGTTTAAAGTAAATACTTGTATACAAAAGGTTTTATAGGAAGGGCACTGAGACTCAACACTTGTAAGTATGTAAGAGAGTCAGGATTGGGAAGAAGAAGAAGTGTGACCATGATGTGGTCTTCGTTGGTTTAAAAACTATGTTCCTAAATTCTTCTAACATCTTTTCTTCTAGAGCTGGAACCTAATTTTCCTGCTTTTGCTGTTTGCTGCAGTTAGAGCTTCACTTGTATGGAAGAGATGAACCAATTTCTCTCTTAAAAATGGAACGATAACCCTGACCGATGTGGCTCAGCTGGCTGGAGCTTCGTCCCATACACCAAAAGATCGCAGGTTTGATGCTTGGTCAGGGTACACGTCTGAGTTGTAGGTTCGGTCTCCGGAAGGCGTGCAGACAAGAGGCACCTGATCGATGTCTCTCTCTCACATCAATGTTTGTCTCCCTCTTTTTCCCTCCCTTCCCCTCTCTCTAAAAATAAATAAAAGCACCCTTTTAAAATATGGAAGAGTTTACACTATGTCTGAGAAGCTAGTGCACATATGGAAGGGACGAGTGGCAGCTCTGTGGACAGGACCCCGTATCAGAGCAGTTTTCAGCTCCGCTGGAACACGCTGTCAGCAATGGTCTACAGCACCTGAGCCAGTGCTGAGCCTCTGCCCTTTGGTTAACAGCCACTCATGGGCTATGGAGAAAATAGATTCTGGGGGACTCTGGGCTCAGCAAATACCATCTTCATTTTCTGAAAAGAAGGATAACGCTTCCTTGAAGTGATAAAACACCCAAGCAAACAAAAACCCATCTTTACTAAATGTCATGAGTGGCCCAAATGGATTAGGTTGCTGATTTTCACACGCTTCCTCTTCTCAGGCTCCCCATGCCACCACAGGCCACGAAGCTGAAGGGGGACTCACGTTTAGCAACTCTTGGTGCTGTTTATAATACCTTGGAGAAGAAGAAAGGGCCAACCGCTGCTTAGAGACGCCTATTCTCTTTCAGCAGGGATTTTCACACCATGGCGTGTGAGTGCCTGTGGTCCTATGAGGAACCAAGTGTGTTTTATATACTACCCTTGCTCAGGAACCTTTGACTAGAGGCCATGGCTATTATTTCAAAAAAATTAAGAGAAGTATGATTTATATAACATCCTTGTCAAAAATTTTCTATGGCCACGTAGCTCAGAAGTGTACAGTGGACGGGGCCTCTGTAAGGGGCGATGTGTGGCCACGGCCGTGAAGAAATGCTGATACACGATGAAGATCTAGAATGTGCCCTCATTTCTAGCATCTCCTCACTTCATTCCAAATGTCTTTATTAGTTCCCTCCCTTTTTGCCATTTATAAAAATGCTTTAAAGAAACATTATAAAATACAGAGTAAAGGAAACATATTTAGTGATAATTCTGCTGCAAAGCCATGACAATTTGGAAATGTTAATGATGCTTTTGACGCACACTTCTGCTGTTCTGTGTCCAACTGAAAAGAAACTGGCCCCATCCTCCTACCAAAACTGTCTATTCTTGTGCCTACTATACTGTCCCATCAAAAATTTTCCACCGAAAAAATGGAAATACAATGTAATTTGAAATACACCTCACGTTATGCCCCACACCACAGAGCATGCGCTGGGCCACAGCTGCTGGTTGTAGCCTTGAAGGCCCATGAGGATCTGCAAGACTTCCTCCCATGAACCATCAGATGTTGTGGACTGGCCACTGGCCTTGAGGGCGATGCACAGTAGATGCCATGTGGCCCCTGGCATGGTGGGGTATCAGACATTTCATTAGGAGGGAGGCTGAACAAACCAATGACGTTCATCATAGATAATGGCATTCACTCTGGATAATCCCCTGGCATTTCCTTCGTCTCTTTCCCACACCTTGCAGGTTGTCATTTCTGTGCTTCTTTATCTCCTGGAAGGCATTTTTCAGGTGAAAAGTAAAAGAAAGCGGTAAGACTGACTTTGCTTCAGATACTAATGCCCCCGGGAGAACTAGCGGGTGTGTGAATGATTGCTTGTATCTAATAAGAGCTTGTAGGGACAACTGGAGTGTCCAGGAAGCCCGGGGATGGAGGCGTGCTTACAGGTTCTGGGGGAGCAAGAACCCAGTCCTGACCCCCAGCAGCACCCCCGGAAGCAGAAGAGCCCTACCAGGGTGGCTGCAAACGGAGCTGAGCTGTCAGGTGAGGAGCCCCAGGTTCCAGTGCCTCACTGTGATGGAAATGGCAGAGCTGCTGCACCTTAGTGGGCGCTGGCCCAGCAGGAAGCTGGGGATCTCTTCCAATGGGTAACTGAGAAGCGGTGAAGCCCTTGTTACCACCTCATCCGTCACCTTGCCACTCTACCTACCCATGGAATCTAGATAGCTCTTGTATGGGAGACTTCTGGAAATAACTTGCCAAAAGAACTGATTTGCAATTTTCCACTCAGCTGCAGGGAATAAGGATTCTAAAATAAAATTTCACTGCCCATAGAAAATGAAAATGTGATGCCGCACCTGCACGTGTGGATTTAAATCTGCTACATCTCTTCTGATGCCTTTTTTTCCCATCATTTTTCTCTTTGTATCCAAGGTAACTAGTATATGCTGAATTAGTAAATGATTGTTAAAGGTTTTTACAATGATCCCTGTATGTGTTTTAAGCAGCTCTCCATTATGTGTTATTTTATAATTCTACTATCAATTAACAAATTTCTACTTACAAATCTTTGGGCTTTTGGAAAATAAAAGTTGGCATCTTATTTTAGTTTGTATGTCTTCCAGTTCCAGTGGTTTGGTAGAGTTTACTATAATTTTATTAGTCATTGGATTTGTTCTTTGGAAAATCACATGCTCTTGTCAGTTGACCATCTAATTTGAATTATGTAATATTGTTTTACTAAATATTTGTTAGAATTCTACATATTGATGTATGACCACTTTGAAAACTGTTAATTAATTTGTCTTTTACACTGTTTTTGATATTTTACTTATTTATTTTTAGAGAGGGGAAGGGAGGAGAAAGAGAGGGAGAGAAACATCCCTGTGTGGTTGCCTCTCACACGCCCCCTACATGCCTATTTAGTACTACAATTGTACATGGGAACCACTTTTTCATTATAGCTTTTTATTTACTTCTTTCCCAAAAGTTACCTATATCGAAGGATGATCCCATTCCCCTCCCCTCTGTCTGGCCCTCTGATTAGCAGTCCGTTGCTGGGCCCTTAAAACCGGGTCACTTTCACGTAGGTGTCTTCCTGTTTTCCTTTTCGTGAGCCTTTTCTCCTGGAACAAATACAATGACACAGCAAACAAACACAACAATAAAAAAAAAAAACACAGAAAAAGCATGTATGTTCTACATTCTGTAGAGAAGCTAATTCTTGACCCGCTGGCTTTGATGGAAGCCGTGACCACTGCCCTGAGGATCTGAGTGACCTCTATGAAGGAAACCCCAAGCTCCCAGGGCAGGACTGGGAAGGCAGCTCTGGCAGTCTCCACTCTCCACTCTCGTCGGACACCAGGGCATGGCCCAAAGGGACTCAGAAAAGGCTAGGAAAGCATGCCACAAGTTCACCAGAAATCCTTTCCAAGTCCTGGTCCTCTCGGCTACCAGTATTTACCACTCTTTGTCCTCTTTTCTCAACACTTCCACCGCAGTGAGCACCATGTGGTCTGAAGGTGAAGGGCAGCACTCCTTCCCCAGACACACGGCCACCTGTGGGAGGGGCTCTGGCCCTGCCCTGGCCTTTCTCCAATTCCTCAGGGGCCGGGGCACCCACAGACCTCCTGGAACCAGCAGTCCCAGGGAGCTCACAACACTCACTGGGCCGAGGGCAGCCAGGACCTGAGGATGAGGCGCTGGTGTTCAGAGCTGTGCATGTTCATGAAACACCTTCCCAGGGGGTGTGTCACACGAGGGCACCGTCACCACTAAACCTACTGGTGCAGGCTGGGCAGGGCTGGTGTGTGTGGCCTAGGAACCTTGGCAGAGTCTGAAGTCACTACGGGCGGGATCACACTGCAGCCCAACCAAAGGCACTGACCACGTGGAAACGGTCTAGGTCTGCACCCGCCCAGAGGCCGGTGGTCTCATTTCTGTTTTGCCCCCCTCCTCACAGACCTAGAGCACACAGCTCCCCCAAGGGACAGCCAGGGGGCTACTCACTCCTTTTCCACATCCTGGATGGAGTCAAGCAGAGGCTGATTCTTGGTTTCAGGAAGGAGGAAGACAATAAGGCTAGGGATGAAGCTGGCGACTGCATAGAGGATCCAGGGCAGGTGGGGAGAATACACGGTCAGGATCATCAGGAGGGGAGCCAGGGCTGCCCCCATATTACCGACAATCCCTATGATTCCTGAAGCTGTTGCCCTGGAGTGCAGATGACAGTACAAAAATAATCTGGTTAAAATCCACACGTGTGATGTGTAATTTATTATCTTGCTTTGATGATGGGAGACAGCACAGCAGTGTTTAGACACATAAAGGTTGACAGTATGCTACCACATTTCACATATGCTGTCTTCTTTGCTTACAATTTCTTTCAGCACACAAGTGCATCAAGACATTCTCATTATTTAAAAAATATTCTGACTCGTAGCATCCACCCTTCAGTGGCTCAGGAGAGTGTGTGAGATGACACATGAAAAGGACTTAACCCAGGGCCTGGTGAAAGTCAGCTGTGAGTGAACTTGGCCCACAAATTGTTCTTGTTATAATCGCTTGTGTTTTTTAAAAAAAGATTTTATTTATTTATTTTTAGAGAGGGTAGGGAGGGAGATAGAGAGAGAGAAACATCAATGTGCGGTTGCTGGGGGCCGTGGCCTGCAACCCAGGCATGTACCCTGACTGGGAATCGAACCTGCGACACTTTGGTTCAGAACCCGTGGCTCAATCCACTGAGCTACACCAGCCAGAGCGTATAATCACTTGTTTTGATAACTAATCAGTTTTAGTTTACTTCCAGCATAAAAGTTCATTAGCTGGGAAATGTCTCTTTTCACCCTCACAGAGCTTCCTACCTGATGATGGTGGGGATCAGCTCATTTCCGTGGACAAAAGAACCCATGAGAGACGCCGAAGAGAATCCTACTCCCACAGTGGACACAACCAGGCGCAGGGTCTGCATTTCTGGAGAGGAAGACCAGTGAGACTCAGGACATCTGAGCTGTTGGAATCACTACCCCCCAAATCAGGAATGAGAAAGATACTTTCGAAGACGTTTGCATGGGTTAAATACTCCACAGAGGAACTGCACAGAGGCAGAGAATGCGCAGGGACGAATGGCTGGGAAATGTGACTTATCTACAGCTAAGAGCCTGAACAGAGAATTTGTAAAATCTAAGTGATTGCATCGTCTCTCCCTACATAACAGAAACTTGCCAAAAACAAAGAGGGGAACAGGAGACCAGCAAGAGTTTGCTTTCACTTTTTCTGTCCAGCCTCTCCTCTGCCTCTCATGTGTAACGTAGGCCTGTCACATGAGCAATGGCTGAGGGATGTAAGGCTCATTAATGTCCTCGAAGAGTTTAACACTTGGGTGCACACACAGTGCGGGCATGGCATGTCCACGGCACCAGAACGGAGAGTAATAAAAGAAAGGGACTCGAGTCAATGGATGAGCTGTAGAGTAGCTTGATCTAGAATATTTGAAGAGGCAAGAATAAGGACCTGTATTAGGGAACAGAATTAGTTAGACTTTGGAAACCTCTGAAAGGAAATTTTAGAGTCCGTTTTCCGCCCCATTAAAAAGATAGCTCATGAGAGCATTACGACGCTGGGGGTGGGGGGACTCTGTGGTGCGGCAGCAAACTTCACTGTTGACGTTCAAGACGCGCAAAGCCCACTCACCTGGGAGTCAGTGACGCATGATGACCACCTGGGTCCCCTATTCATTATGTAGGGTTACTTAATTTAGTGAAACTGATTCTCAGAGACGCTTTAACCGCTTCACTCCCTGTTCTTGTTGGACACTCCTGCTTGAAGACAAGAGATTTTTCTTCCCTTGAAGTCAAAAAGGACTTCCAGGATAGAAGGTGTAGTGACCTAATGCATGTGGGTATATAGCAATCAGGGAGGGAATTGGACCCAATAAAAAGGAGCCCAGACAGAGGAAGTGAGAGTAGTGTGTTGTCCCATGAGACACAATTACATGATGGACACAACACTGTTGTTTACAACAGTGTGATGGGCCAGAGAGCAAGTGCTCATTCACTCGCTTAGAGAAACGGTCAGGAGTAAATGGCACCGGTTACCAGGGGCTTCTCAGATACGATGACGATGACCTTGTATCTGAACCGACTTTTACTGGCCTTGGACTCTTCCCCAGCCACTTAACGGCAGAATCTGCTCTAAATCATCACGTTGGTTTGGGGAATCGTTAGAAAGAACCACATTCTCCCTTTCCGTCTGACCTCAGAGAGGTGTGAGCACATTCCCTGAGCAAAAGGGCCAAGACGTTTCCTTCACCCCGTGCTCCTCTCTCACCTCGAGGCACAAACGTGACGGCCAGAATGGAGCTCCCCAGCAGGAGCAGGAAAAGCACCTGGCTTACTCGCCGGCCCAGGCGATTCAGCGCCAGAAAGGCAACGTAGTTGGCTGGGAGGGAGACTGCGCCGAAGAGAACCTGGAACAGGAAAACATGGTTCCCCAGGTGCTGGAGGTGGAGACCCAGGCCGTAGAAGGGAATGCAGACTGCAAACCTGCGGGGAACGAAAGAAAGACAGGTGTCATCAGGTTTGGAGCCCATGTCATGCGAACGGTGCTCATAAATATTATCAGCCAGGCAGCCAGTCGTAGGCGACAAAGAATAAAGACCTCGTCAGCTTTGTTGGCTATGTCGTTGCACAGTGATGATTTTAAAACTGTCATAAAGTACTGTATGGTGATGGAGGTCCTAATTGTTATTGAGTTTTTCTGGAGGTGGTGAGTGTTATTCTTGAGGATATATAGTGGGGCCTTCCAGGATTTTAGAGTTTTTTCCTATACTGTCATCTGGGGGACGGCTACATATGTACATGTGTAAATATTTATAGAGCTGTATTATTTGTACACTTTACTGTTTGTAGTTTTACCTCAGTTAAAACAGAACAAGTGAAGAAACTTAAAATCAAAGTCTGTACCATGACTGAGGTTCTCAGCCTCAGCTTCCAGTGGCGGTGAGCCAGGTGGGGCGATGTGATCGATGACACTCCTCACTGGACAGTGAATTCGGTCGGTCTTTTCCTAGCCTTTTGATTCTCTCTAAACATAGCAATTATCTTCGTGGCTTCTTCATGTTTTATCTCAAACGTGTTCCTATAGCACATTATGGCCTTCGAGATAAACAGACTCACGTGTCCGCTATTTTTAACATTCCTCATGCGCGCCGTGAAGCCTACCTCACGCAGCATAGGAGAAACATCCTTTTACGCAAGTTGGGCGTGCGGAACAAGTCCAACACAAGCGGTTTGGTCTTGGCCGCCTCCAGCTCGTCCTGCATGGTGGCTCTCAAAGCCTGCAACAACAACGACAGCAACAAGCTATGCGGTTGTCACAATGTAGTAGGCACTGCGAGGTCCCAAACACAGGACAAGATGGACCACTTCCCTCTCTGTCTCCTGTTTATTACAGCCAGCGAAGATGTGTTGACAGATACAAAAGGGGCATGAAAGGTGAACTGGAGTGTTAAAGAAGCCTCAAGGAGCTTCTGTAGCAACACACACATAGTAAACATGAGATTCAAGAGGACTGCAAGACATCGGAAAGCGTCTGTGTGTCAGATCTTCCGATCAGGAAGGGAAGCAGATGCAGAGTTACTTGGATTATGGTCCAAAGCTCCGTTTATGCCAGCAGGCATGAAAGACCTGAGAACTGAGCTTGAGTCTCAGCTGGCTGTCCTTTGCAGAAAACCCCTTTATCTCAGAAAAAAAGAGAACATTTCCTAAGAGTGTTTGTTTCACCCAGTCACTTTGAGGGAAAGCCTGGCATATTGTGCCCCCAGGAATGACAGGCCTAGAAGTAAATCTGAGGATGAGATCTGGGGAGACCTTGGTGCAGAATGATTTGTCCCTAGAGCTCGTCACGACCTGAGTGAGTCGACGATACCATGACAGGCTGGATAGGTACATTCAGGAATGTAATTAAATATTTCTAAACCTCAATTTCCTTGTCATTAAAAAGACTAGTAGAAGAATCAGGAGTAAGAGAAGGTGGAGAAAAATAATAGCACCTTTCTCTCGAGGATTTCCGAGGCCACACATGAGGTCGCGCATGTGAATATGGAATTAGATCCAGCACGCCTGAGATACAGATTTACTTATTTATTATTCAAATAATATTGACTTAATTCTCATCGACAAATGAGACAATACTGGGAAGTCCACTGGAAAACTCCACGAGGAAGGGGATTTAGAGGCGTGAAAGGCCACCCTCACAGAGGACCTGCATGATCAAGAATGTCCTTTTAATCCCTGGCTGGCATAGCTCAGTGGATTGAGCGCAGGCTGTGAACCAAAGTGTCGCAGGTTTGATTCCCAGTCAGGGTACATGCGTGGGTTGCAGGCCATGACCCCCAGCAACCGCACATTGATGTCTCTCTCTCTCTCTCTCTCTCTCTCTCTCTCTCCCTCCCTCCCTCCCTCCCTCCCTCCCTCCCTTCCCTCTCTATATAAATAAATAAAAATCTTAAAAAAAAAAAAAGAATGTCCTTTCATGGGGTCAACCAGCCTGAGTAGCAAAACACTGGGTTCATGCTTTTGGAAGAGTGGAGTCATGAAGGCTTTTCCTTCCAGCATCTGACACCACAAACCCACAACTGTGGGCTCTTGCTTGTCATGGGTGGGGCTGGAAAAATGGGTTCCAAGAATATCCTTTTTTTTTGGTCCACACTGTTCACACCTATATTTCAAGTTTGGAAATGCATATTTGCAACCAGCATCACAAAAATATTCATGAAGAAGGCACAGTCTGAAAATTATGGAAACATCCCTCCTCCCAATACGTTTCTAAATTTAAAAGACTGACTGCCATCTTGTTACCTCTGTGTAGCAAGAGTTCATTTTTAAAACAGAGAAAATGCAGTCTGTAGGTGTGAATGGTTTGAATGACAGTCTTTTTTTTTTTAATTTCTTAGTCTGTTGGGATCTTTAAGCATGCAAAACCTCAGGGGGCAGGGCCCACAAAGGAACTGGAGTTGGCTAATGGCGCCCAGGTAAGCAGAGCTGGGGGTGCCCCTAGGTCACCTGCAGCAGGAACAGGAGCTCTGGACTCGTCAGTCCTGCTGCCACGGTTTGCACGCCCACCACGCCCACGGCCACGTCGCCTCCCCTGCCACCATATCCAGTCTCATACAACCCACCAAGACTGAATCAGGAAGGAATAGAAATCCTAAACAACCAATCACTAATATGGAGATTGAAAAAGTAATTTTAAAAATCCCAGAAATAAATGTCTAATACTAGACGGTGAATTTCACAGGTGAATTTCACCAACCATTTAAAGAAAAATTAACACCAATTCTTCTCACACTCTTCCAAAAAAACAGAACAGAGAACACTTCCAAACTCATTTTATGAGGACAGCATAACCCTTATACCAAAGTCAGACAGAGGCTATAAGAAAAGAACATAGATGGAAAAGGGCATTAATAAGATCTAGCAAACCAAGTTCAACAGCATTTTAAAAGGAACACACACCAGTGGGATTTATTCCTGGGGTGCAAGGATGGTTCAACACAGACAAATCAATAAATATGATACATGGCATTAACACGATGAAGGCTAAAAATCACACAGTCATCTCAATAGGTGCAGAACAATCATTTGACAAAATTCAACACACCTCCATGATAAAAACTCTCAGCCAATTAGGTATTGAAGAGATTTACCTCAAATGTCACATATGAAAAGCCCACAGCTAACATTATACTCAATGGTGAGAACCTGAAAGCTTTTCCTCTAACATCTGGAACTACACAAGGACACCACTTCAACTCAGCGTAGGACTGGAAGTCCTAGCCAAAGTGAGTAGATAAGAAAAAGAAAAAAAAGGGACTTCCGGCAAGATGGAGGCATAGGTGGACGCACCGTACCTCCACGCACAACCAAGATTAGAACAACAATTTAGAGGCAGAATAACACCCAGAACTGACAGAAAATTTATCTGAATGGAAGTCGGACAGCCAAGAAGTTGAAATAGACCCATTTATCCAGACCGGTAGGAGGGGCAGAGACAAGCAGCTGGGCGAGGGGTCGTGGCGCGGAGAACAGGGAGAACTGGGTGCATAAGGCAGCCAGGAGCGTGTAAGGCATCTGGGGTGCACAAGATCGCAGCGGTGGACCCTGAGTGCTCAAGCGGCAGCTGGGAGACCCAGTGAGGTGGCGATTGTGGAGCAGGGCAGAGCGCACAACCAAGGATCCCAGGGAAGGGACTGAGGTCCCACAGAGAACGGAGCTACCGCCATTGTTCCCCCTCGACCACCCCTCACATACAACATCACATTCTAGCGACTGGGGTGCCCAACCCTGGTGAACACCTAAGGCTCCGCCCCTCACCATAACAGGATTGACCAGACCAAAAAAAGAAAAAGAGAGAGAGAGAGACAGATGGCTCAAACAGAAGCACAAATCAGTGCCCCAGAACTCATCCTTTTGAGTGACCAAGAGATAGCTAACCTATCAGATGCACAGTTCAAAGCACTGGTGATCAGGAAGCTCACAGAATTGGTTGATTTTGGTCTCAAATTAGATGAAAAAAATGCAGGTTACCATAAAAGAAATGAAGGAAAATGCACAAGGAACCAACAATGATGGAAAAGAAACGGGGACTCAAAACAATAGAGTGGAGCAGAAGGAAGAAAGAAACAACCAAACAGGAAAGAATGAAGAAATAAGAATTCAAAAAAAAACCAAGGAGAAGCTTAGGAACCTCCAGGACATCTTTAAATATTCCAACATCTGAATTATAGGGGTACCAGAAGGAGAAGAGGAAGAGCAACAGATTGAAAATGTATTTGAACAAATAATAAAGGAGAACTTCCTCATTCTGGCAAAGGGAATAGACTTCCAGGAAGTCCAGGAAGCTCAGAGAGTCCCAAAGAAGTTGGGCCCAAGACGAAACACACCAAGGCACATCATAATTACATTAGCCAAGGTAAAAATGAAGGAGAGAATCCTAGAAGCAGCAAGAGACAAGGAGACAGTTACCTACAAAAGAGTTCCCATCAGACTGTCAGCTGATTTCTCAAAAGAGACCTTACAGGCAAGAAGGGGCTGGAAAGAAGTATTCCAAGTCATGAAAGACAAGGACCTATATCCCAGATTACTCTATCCAGCAAAGCTTTAATTTAGAATGGAAGGGCAGATAAAGTGCTTCTCAGATAAGGTCAAGTTAAAGGAGTTCATCATCACCAAGCCCTTATTTTATGAAATGTTAAAAGGACTTATCTAAGAAAAGAAGATTTTTAAAAAACATGTATAGTAAAAGGACAGCAAACTCACAATTATTAACAATCACACCTAAACCAAAACCAAAAGAAACTAAGCAAACAACTAGAACAGGAACAGAACCACAGAAATGGAGATCACATGGAGGGTTAGCAACAGGGGGGTGGGAGGAGGAGAGAGGGGGAAAAGGTACAGAGAATAAGTAGCATTGATTGTAGGTAGGAAATAGACAGGGGGAAGGTAAGAATAGTATGAGAAATTGAGAAGCTGAAAAACTTATAAGTATGACACATGGACATGAACTAAATGGGGGGAAGTGGATGGGAGAGGGTGTGCAGGGTGGAGGGGAGTGAAGGGGGAAATAGGACAACTGTAATAGCATAATCAATAAAATATATTTTAAAAAAAGAAAAAGAAAAAAATCAGGAAGAAAGAAGTAAAATTACCATCGTTTGCAGACAACATAGTCTTATACACAGATAACCCTAAAGACACTTCCAAAAATTGTTATAACTAACAAATAAATTTAATAAAGTCACAGGATACAAAATCAACATATAAAAATTTGTTGCATTTGTATACACCAGCAACAAACTCTCTGAAAAATGAAATTAAGAAAATAATTTCCTTTATAATAACATCAAAAATAATAACCTATTTAGGAATAAATTTAACCAAAGAGGTGAAAAACTTGTAGACTGAAACTATAAACACTGAAGAAAGAAATTAAAGCAAACATAAAAAAATAGAAAGACATCCCACATTCATAAATTGAAAGACTTAATATTGTTAAAATGTTCATATGATCCAAAGTGACCTCCAAATGCAATACAATCCTTATCAAACTCTCAAGGGCATTCTATACAGATATAGAAAAAAACAATCCTAAGATTCTAGGGGAAACACAGAACAGCCCTAACAGTCAGAGCATCTTTTCAGCAAAAAAAGGCTGGAGGCATCTGATTTCAAAATATATTACAAAGTTATAGTAACCAAGAACATGGTTCTGGCATAAAAACAAACATAGAGACCAATGGAACAGAATAGAGAGTCCAGCAATAAACCCATGCAAATACAGTTAATTTATCTTCAACAATGGTGCCAAGAATTCACAACAGAGACAGAACAGTGTTGTCAATAAATGGTGTTGGGAAAACTGGATATTCACAGGCAAAAGAATGAAATTGGAAACTTATCTTACACTGTACACAAAAGTCAACTCAAAATGAGTTATAAAGACTAAAATGTGAGACCTGCGACTATAAAATTCCCAGATAAAACACAGGAGGAAACTTCCTGACGTTGGTCTCGGCCGCGGTTTCTCGGATGCGACAGCAAGAGCTCAGGCAACAAGCAAAGATCGACAAGTGGGACGACATCGAACTAAAAAGCTTCTGCACTGCTGGGAAATGGAAGGAGACAGCTCCCATGGAATAGGGGACAATATCTACAAACCATACGTGTGACAGAGAGTTAATACCAAAATGGGTAGGGAACTCCTGTAACTCAAGAGCAAAAAGCCAAATCACCCAGTTAAAAAATGGGCATACGAAGAACAGAGCAGACATTTCTCCAAAACCTCTGTGTGAACAGCCAACAGGTGCACGATAAAGTCTTCATCGTCAGCAATTGTTAGGGAAACACAAACCAAAACCACAATGAGTTACCACTTCACACCGGTCAGGATGGCCGTTAGTGAAAAAGAAGAAAAAGGGGAGTGTTGCCGAGGGTGCAGAGGACGGGGCGCCCTGTGCACTGTTGGCAGGAATGTGAAATGGCATAGCCACTGTGGAGACAGTGCAGAGGTTCCTCAAAAAATTAAAATTAGAACTATCATATGATCCCATAATCTCTCATCTGGGTATATATCCAAAAGAATTGTAAACAGGATCTTGAAGAGATATTCACACACACACATTCACGGTAGAACTATTCACAAAAGCCAAAGCGTGGAAACAACCTAAATTCCCATCAATGGATTTTTTTTTAATGTGGTACATACATACAATAGGATACTATTCATTAATAATAATCAAAATTCTGTCATTTGCTGCAACATAGATAAATCTTGAGGACATTTTGCTAAGTGAAATCTACACAGTCTATACAATTATAAATACTAGGTGGTGTCTGCCTCTATTGAGTAAAATGTCCACACCCAATTTTTTCAGCAACAGTGCAGTCTCCCTCAGTGTTAACTCAGACAATGTTGACAGCCACTGGGAACCGGGGGAGTTAGGAGGAGTGACCAGCACTCCACCCCTCATTCATCTGATGGACACCATCCAGTGTAGAGATTAGGTCATGTCCTCCCTGTACCCCACACACAGTTCCATCCTCCTCACCTCCATGGTGAGGGCGTCTCCGACATCCTTTCTTCCATTCATGTAGGCGACTTTCCGAAGCTCCTTTAAGCCCTCCTCGGGTTTGTTGATGATGATCAGCCACCGAGCAGACTCCACCAGCCATCTGGTCAAAGAAGAAGACAGAGGTGCTGCAAAGTCTCCTTTGGCCATTTTCATATACCCTTTGTCCTGAGGCGCCTCCCCCTACCCCTCTCATACCTACCTCCTGTTCTGTTACCCCAGAAAATATGAACTTAAGTTCTCCTGCACCATAACTAGGAAACTGTGAGGATAACCTCTCCACATACTACACCTTCACAGCTGGGAATACAGAGTAGGAGTTTTACTGGCCAACCTCGCATTCAAGAGAATATTGCCACTTTTAGCAAATAAAAACAGTGTGCCTAGGTAGCTTTGAATTCAGTTAGACTGTAAACATGAGTTATCTTTTAATGTAACTGCATTCCAAGCAATATTTTGGACATATCCAAAGAAGCATGTGTTATCTCTTTGGGATTTTACTTTAATTAGACACCCTTTCTTTTATTGGGTTAGTAAATAAAAATACAGACCTCTCAGATAAATAGAAATTTTATATACACAATGAATAACTTTTAGAGTAACTGTGCACCATACAATATTTGGAATGTTTTACACAAGAACTGTGTTTATCTGAAATCCAACTTAAACTGAGTGCCCTAGATGTTATCTGGCAGCCCTACTATTCGCTTCTTGAATGGTACATAAGACTCATGTTAGCGGAGCATGCGATCAAGTGTTGACTAGGCACCTAACAGAATTCTGTGTCCTTGTTCTGGGCACCTGCATCCCAGGATCCTCAGCACAAAGAAAGAAAGACAGCTGATACCTTGAGAGAACAAACAAGACCAGTACTGGTACAGAATACACCAGCTGAAGGACGTGCCAGTCTCGAATGACAAAAGCCAGGCCTCCCAGAATCATCTGTCCCATGCAAGCAGTGCAGATCGCCATCGTCATTCCCAGGGCTTGGAATCGGGGCACTAGCCATTCCATAACTGAAAGAAAACACAAACGGGACGGTGACTTCAAACAAAGTTGGAATTTCACAGTCAACATGAAGACTCGGAAAATGCCAAAGATCTGAAGTTTTTACTTACTAAGCACCGAATTGTTGGTCATGATGCCCATGACAGAAAACCCAGCCAAGAAGCGCAGGAAGCAGTACAGGAGGAATGTGGGGGTGAAGGCGGCGCAGTTCCCGACGACGGCGAGTGCAAGAAAGCACCACATTAAAATTAACCTCCTCCCGAACCTGAGGAACAGGAACAGGTTAGACATGGGAATACTAACAAGCTGCTGTAGAAAGTATCCAAAAGAAGTCATACTTTGAAATTTTGGCAATGTTTTCATAAGCGAAACTTGGTACTTGAAACCATAGAGAATCAAAAGTAGATTTCAGAAGCAGGCCTCCTGTTTGTAAATAGATATTACGTATAACAAAGTTTCTCCAGTGTGTTACCAGAACTTTAAGATCAACTGAAACCATATAAGGCAGCCTGCAATAATATAGTAGTCCCTTTTACCCATGGTTTTGTTTTCCGTGGTTTCCATCCTCCAGTCAACCACAATTCAAAAATATTACATGGTTACATAGCAATCTTGAGAGAGAAGAACAGCGCTGGAGGAATCACACTACCTGATATCAAACTATACTACAAGGCTATAGTAATGAAAACAGCATGGTACTGGCAGAAAAACAGACATATAGGTCAATGGAACAGAATAGAGAGCACAGAAGTAAACCACGCCTCTATGGTCAATTAATATTTGACAAAGGAGGCAAGAACTTACAATGGAAAAATGAGCCCAATGGAACAGGGCTCCCAGTACTATGTTGAATAAGAGTGGTGAAAGCAGACATCCCTGTCTTGTTCCTAATCTTAAGAAAGATGCTTCTAGTTTGTGGGCATTGAGTATGATGTTGGCTGTGCGTTTGTCATACAGGCCTTTATGATGTCAAGGTATGTTCCCTCTACTCCCACTTTGCTGAGAGTTTTTAACATAAGTGGGTGCTAGATTTTATCACTTTTTTGCATCTATTGATATGATCTAATGTTTTTTATCCTTCATTTTGTTTATGTGGTGTATCACATTAATTGATTTGAGCGTATTGTACCAACCTTGCATCCCCGGATTAAATCCCACTTGATCATTCTGAATGATGTTTTTAATGTTTTGTTTGAAAATATTTTGCATCTAGGTTCATCAGGGATATTGGCCTATAATTTTCTTTCTCTGTAGTGTCTTTATCTGGTTTTGGAGTTAGGATAAGGCTGGCCTCATAAAATGGGTTTGAGAGTCTTCCCTCCTCTTGAATTTTTTGGAATAGTTTGACAGGTATAAGTGTTTGTTCTTCATATGTTGGTAAAATTCACCCATAAAGCCATCAGTCCAGGAGTTTCATTTGTTGGGAGTTTTTTGATTACTGCTTCAATTTCATTAGTTGTAATCTGTATATTCAAATTTTCTGATTCTTCCTGATTCAGTTTCAGAAGACTTTATGTTTCTAGGAATTTATCCATTTTATCCAAATTGTCCAATTTGTTGGCATATATAGTTATTCATAACATTTTCTTACAATCCTTTGTATTTCTGTGATGTTAGTTGTTACTGTTCCTCTTTCATTTCTGACTTTATTTATTTGGGTCCTTTTTCTTTTTTTCTGGTTAAAGGTTTGTCCATCTTGTTTGTCTTTTCAAAGAACCAGCTCTTGGCTTCACTGAACTTTTATATTGTTTTTTAGTCTCTATATCATTTATTTCCTCTCTAATCTTTATTATTTCCTTCATTCTACTTCACTCTACTTCATTCTACTCTACTTGAGCTTTGTTCGTTGTTCTTTTTCTAGTTCCTTTAGGTGTAAGGGCTAGATTGTTTATTTGAGATTTTTCTTGCTTCTTTCTTAAAAATTACATTTATTGGGGTGACATGGGTTAAAATTTCCCTCTTAGGAGTGTTTTTGCTGTGTCCCATAGATTTGGGGTTGTTGTGTGTTCTGTTTCATTTGTCTCCAGATAATTTGATTTCTTCCTTGATCACATTATTGATCCATTCAGTGTTTAGTAACATTCTTTAGCCTTCATGTTTCTGTGTGTTTTTCAGTTTTTCTTCTTGTAATTGATTTCTAATTTCATGTCATTGTGATCCGAGAAGAATCCTGATATGATTTCAATCTTGAATTTAGTAAGACTTGTTTTGTGTCCTAACATGTGGTCTATCCTAGAGAATGTTCCATGTGCCCTTGAGAAGAATGTATATTCTGATGCTTTGGGATGAGATGCTCTGAAAATATCAATTAAGTCCATCTGGTCTAGTGTGTCCTTTAAGGCCACTGTTTCCTTGATGATTTTTTGCCTGGAAGACCTATCCATTGATGTGGGGTGTTAAAATCCCCTACCATGACTGTATTACTGTCAATCCCTCCCTTTATGTCCATCAAGATTTGCTTTACATATTTAGGTGCTCCTATGTTGGGTGCATGGATGTTTCCTAGGATTATATCCTCTTGTTGGATCGTTCCCTTTGTCATTATGTAGTGTCTTTCTTTGTCTCTTGTTATGGCTTTTGATTTGAGGTCTATGTTGTCTGATAGAAGTATTGCTACACCAGTTTTTCTTTCATTTCCGTTTGCATGAAATATCTTTTTCCATTCCTTTACTTTCAGCCTGTGTTTACCTTCTATTCTGAGATGCTCTCTTGTAGATAGTATACCTGTGGGTCTTGTTTTTTTATCCATTTTTATCCTATGTCTTTTTTATTACAGCATTTAATCCATTTACATTTAAAGTAATTATTGATAGGTACTTATTTATTGCCATTTTGTTCTGTTTGTTGTTGTTGTTGTTCTTTAAAGATTTTATTTCTTTTTTAGAGAGAGGAGAAGGGAAGGAGAAAGAGAAACATCAGTTTCTCTCGCATGCCCACAACAGGGGACCTGGCCAGACATGTGCCCTGACCAGGAATTGAACCAGTGACCTTTCAGTTTGCAAGCCAGCACTCAACCCACTGATCTACATCAGCCAGGGCTGCCATTTTATACTTTATACCTATGTTTCTTTCTCTCTTTTTTCCCTTCTTCTTCAAGAAGACCCTTTAACATTTCTTGAAATACTGGTTTGGTGGTGAACTCCTTTAGTTGTTTTGTTTGGGAAGTTCTTTATTTCACCTTCAATTTTAAATGATAGCCTTGCTGGATAGAGTAGTCTTGGTTGTAGATCCTTCCTTTTCATAACTTTGAATCTTTCATGCCAATGTCTTCTGGCCTGAAGTATTTCTGTTGAGAAATCAGCTGACAGCCTTATGGGAGCTCCCTTGTAGTTAACTAATTGCTTTTCTCATGCTGCTCTTAATTTAAGATTATCTCTTTATCTTTAACCTTTCCCATTTTCATTGTAATTTGTCTTCATGTGAGTCCCTTTGGGGACTCTGATCACTTAGTTACATTTACCATCATACATTCAGAATTCATAGTTTTCAGATGAAATAACAGAAGACAATATGCTAGTGGATGGTGAGAAGCACTTTGATTCTCCATATCTTTCAGAGGAGACATGATTGGGTGGTGGCAATGGTTAGCTATCTAATTCAGAAGTAGCACTGTTAGGCACAGGATACTGCAATTCTAACCCCACAAATGGTGAAAGAAGTTGTAATTAGATTAATTAGCTTCTGTGGTTGAAAACCCTACCTTTAAAAGCTGTGTTGTTGTTTTTTTCAAAAACAAAAATCAAGGTTACTAGAACAATGGTGGACTTTTTATCCACAACCAAGATAAAAATTGCTATATGTACAACACGGGTTTAATAGGAATGTCTACTCATCACACTTGAGAAACAATGATATGGTGTCTATGCTCTGGAAATCCAGACCCAGGGGGGTCTGAACATGGCCTGTAACGTTGTTTTCCATATTTGTGTCTTCAAACAGGCTGAACCTCATGCTGTGATACATGTTCTTCTCTGTTCCCATGGGTAACTACTCTTCCTCATCTTTTAAACCACATGTTGTGGCATCACCTCTCTAACCCCTGTCCTGAAGTGTCACCATGTCCAGAGGAGGTGTTGTTTCTGTGTCCTGCGTGAGTACCCACAGCAGGCAAAACAGCACTCATGACACTGACTGTAATTCTTCATTTGGGTTCCTACATAACCCAGATCAGTGTAATTCATCATCAATGTTTCTTAATGGAAGAATGATTCATGAGTTCATGAAAATACCCCAGAGTAAAGACAGCCGTGATCCAGAGACACTCACCTGTCTGTTAGATGGCCCAAAATGATGCCTCCCACCACCGCTCCAATCATGAATGAGAATTTGGTCACTGAGCTCAGTGATGCAGAGTCACACACCAGGTTCCACTGGAAGGGAAGGAAAGCATCACAGCTCAGCTGCATAGCAGCTCACAGCCCCTCAGCACAGACCAGACTGAAACAACCTAAATGAGGTCCATGTTTCTTTATACCAGGAAGCTTCCTCCTCTCCTGCTGCTGCTGCTGCTGCTGCTGCTGCTGCTGCTGCTTGTTCTTCTTCTTTTTTGCATTAGCTGACCTTTATTACTCAAATCTCAGCTGAAACCCAACTTCCTCTGGGAAGCTTCCTCTAAACATATTGGCTATATGAATGCTGTGTTTTATTTCATACTTAGTGGTTCTCAATCTTAGCTACAGAGGGCAATCACTTGAGAAGCTGTAACATTTACTGATGCCAAAATTTCATCACAGATCCTCTCACATGGCTGCTCTGGGATACAGTCTGGGCTTGGGCAAGTGCATCACCTTCAGGTAAGGCTGAGCATTACTGACATTGCATAACAGGCTAAACACAATACATAAATTAATGGCTTCCCCTTTAGCCCTCCGAAAAATAAAAGCTATCTAATACCGAGGCCATGTCTATTTGTTAGTTCACTAAACTCAAATACGTAGGAGTCTGGCATTTAATGAAGTAGTTAATAATTGCTGAAGCAATAAAGAATGAGCACCTACACGATGACTGAGGTTCATCCCTTGCATTACCCCTCCACTCCCACACTGCGAACTCACAGCAGGTAAAGAGGCCTCTTACCTGCATCACGATGGTGGAGGAGAAGGCGCTCCGGTCGTACACCCAGCCATCCACACAGGGCTCCGTGGCCAGCTCGCTCGTGTTGGACAAGGTCCCATTCAGGTGAAGGAGCTGCCACTGGGGGTGGAGGAAGCGACGACACTTCTCTGGCCTCAGGTCTGAGTCCAGTGGGATGGAGACTCTGAGGAGGGCGTCTTGCCCGAGGGTCCCAGTGCCATTAGCAGAGACCGTGTCGTTGTCGAGGATGTGGACCCAGCAGCGGTGACCCGGGACGACCGCGGTGAAGTTCTCCAGTAGAAAATGAGGGTACACCAAGATGCCGGAGATGCAAAGGAAAAGCGTCTGAAGGATCTGGAATCGGCCCAGGCCTCCGATTTCCTCCAGGAGTTCGTGAAAGGCCATGGAGGATGAGCGGGCGAGCCCCAGGGACTGCAGTCAGACAAGTGCAAAGGGAAAACCGGCCTCCTTTCTCCACGTCACATGAAGTGTGTCAGTCCTGACCACGCTCCCTCCTCGACAGGCCCCGCCTCCTTCCCCAACAGCGGGGGGCCTTGGAAACTGTTTCTCCGAGTTACTTGAGGATCCAGCAGGCAGCCGGTTCCTTGAAAGTTGGAGAAAACGGTTTAGCTGGCGTGTCACCGGCAGAGGCCATGAACCCTGTTTAAAGGTCCCCTTGGTGAAACCTGGTGTCATCGGCGGTGCCCCAAAGCAGCGCTGGACTCTGACCCTCGCGCCTGTGGGTCAACGAAGCCTGTCAGTGCTGGGCAGACCTTGTCCCGTGTCATCGATGAGGCTCCAAACGAGAAGTGTTTGATTTTTTTTTTTTTCTGCGAAGAATACTGACAGTGAGTGCTGTGCTTGGATTTCGATTAAAAGAGTTCGTGAAAACCATCCTGAGCCCAATGAAAGCAAGCGAAATGTGGTGCCATCCTTCCCTCTGGGTCAAGGCCATTCTGCTTCAAATCAAATCCACGCGTGAATCCACTTGGAAAATGAGTTTCTCCGCGTGGGGGCGGAGTGGGCAGGGAGGGAGGGTAGAGGACTGAGGCTCTGGTCCGCTCCCTCTGAGGTTTGTTTTTACAAGCCTATGACTCGTTCCGATGACCCTTGCACGGGCGTTTTTTTGTTCCAGGGCTCCAGCAGTGTGTGAGACAAGGTCTTTTTTAAGGGTCTTCTACAGCAGGGAGGCAGGGAGAGGTGAGTACACAGGTGCGCTCTGAGATTACAAAACGTGGTGGATGCACACGGGCTCTGGAGGAATTAAAGGGAAAATATGGGAGGAACGTCACCTTTGTCAGCACTAAATCTTCCACCAAAAATTCTTTTTTTTTTTTTGAAGCCTTATTGATGTAATCCACTCTTTAAAATGTACAGCCCTGGGGATGTGAGTCATTCAGACTTGAGTCAAACACCAGCCCTGGCTGGTGTTGCTCAGTGGATTGAGCTCGGGCTGAGAACCAAAGGGTCACTGGTTCGATTCCCAGTCAGGGCACATGCCTGGATTGTGGGCCAGGTCCCCAGTGGGGTCCACATGAGAGGCAACCACACGCTGATGTTTCTCTCCTTTTTCTCCCTCCATTCTCCTCTCTAAAAGGAAATAAATAAAATCTTTAAAAAAAAATAAATTAAGTCTTAAAAAAAAACACATTGCTATTGACATTCAGTCCCAATCATCTCCATTCTAATCTCCGGCAGCCAATGATACACTTTTCTGCCTGTGTGCACTTATCTGTCCTTAAAAGAAACAAGTCTCCTTAGGACCTTTCCAATGACTTGGATTTGGCCTTTGGCCTTCCTTCTGGAAAGTGCTCAGCGAATCCTCTGTCACACTTTCTCGTTCTATTCGCTCTTTGCATTTCCATTGGGAAGGTTTCTACTCACCCATCTTCTGGCATATTGATTCTCAGCCATGTCTACAGGCGTGCCTGTCTGTTACAGAGGTTCTGATTCCTAGCATTTCCATGTGGTTCCTTCTTCGAGTTTCCACTTCTCTGCTTATGTCACTTTCTGTTCTAGCATATTGTCCACCTTTCCCAGTAAGGCCCTTTTCATATTGATCACAGCTGCTTTAAATTCCTGGTCTGACCATCCCAGACTCCCGGACAAGTCTGAGTCTGCCCCTCACATGTGCTTTGTCTCTGGCGCACTGGGTAATAGATTGAGGTACCTGGGTCTTTAGTGTGCGGTGTAATGTTTATCTAGTTAGAGGACAGGCAGGGTGGAATGTGTTCTGCATCTATCTGTGTGTGTCAGAGGATTCAATTTCCTCTCGTGTATTTTCTACTGCTCCTCTGTTCTCTTGGGTCTTCTTCTATGAAATCTCTGGAAACTCTTTGCATGGGACCTGTGTCTTGCTGCTCTCTCTCCCTTGTAATTTACTATTACTGTCCCAGAGCCCTGTTGATGTGCTAGTTGGGTCCTGGGGAGGGAAAACCTTCTATAATATGATAAATAATTTTTTTTCTTTGTGGTAGGCCAGAGTCCCTGCACTGTGATCTTTAGATGAGGTTTATTTTCTCTCTCTCTCTCTCTCTCTCTCTCTCTCTCTTTTATGTGAGACATAAAAGCCAGAGGAGACTCCCTTTCTCCGTGTCCAAGAAGACTTCAGGAATGTATTTCTCTCGAGGTCTGGCCTTCCTTACAGAGAACAGAGCCAAGAACAGATATCCTAGCTCTGGATCTATTTCAAAATCATTAGCTTTGCGTCTCTGCCTGTTGAAGGAAGAATGCGTTTTTCTTTGATCTCCACAGAGAGAACCTGGTGGGGCTCCACAAATGTGTGGGAGCTTCACTCCCCCGGAGCTTTTAAATCACAAACGAGACACCACTGAGTCGCTGGGAATTCTTCAGTTACAGTCAGAGTGATCCTACCCGTACTGGCTCCAGCAGCGAGCTCCTGCTCCCAGTAAACGAGGCAGTGGATGCCCTGGACCTCGAGTCTTTGGTGGACCTAAGAATTGTCGTTTCTCAGTTCATGTCGTTTTTCTTTCTTTGTGTGAGGACACAAATGACGTCTTCCATGCTCTTGTCGAGTTAGAGCAGAAACCTCAAGTCTGTCCTTCTAATTTTGCTAGCATGAGGTCCAGGAGTGCGGTGAGGAACCAGCACACATGAAGTTCAGAGTTGATAGCTGCTATGTATTCTGGTCAATAAAACAAATAGTAGATTTGGCAATTTTGCTGTTTATCTAGAGTAAATGCAATTGATCCGTCAGTGGCATTGAAATAGCTCTGACTTTAATTGCACTACTTAGACCAAACATTTCTACCAAAAAAAAAACAATAAATATTTACAAAGAAGCTTTTTACAGATGGTTAACATCTGTACTGTATGTACTTGAGAAGCCAAATACATAATTCATGAATCTGTAATGTTAGATTATTCATTATTGCCTCTAAAAACATCTCATGCAATACAAACTGTCAAATGCTTGTAATGGCATTTATGTGGAAGTAGTATTATATACAGAAATAGTCCAGTTTTCCTGTGTGTGCGAGTACATAATTTAAAGACATTTAGTAGATGATTGAGAAAATACTCACAGCACATTAGAAATTGATATATAATATCAGTTTGCAGAACTTCAAATGATTGTTTTTAAGAAATCATCCAGAATGCATACCATTCTCCACAAAGAAAACTAGAGAAATTCTGAATAGTCATCATGGATCATACTGCATAACCTCGCATGAGATTATGTTACTTATTCAAAGTCATCTTCTGCTTTTTTCACTCCTTTGGCCACATTCATCTGTGGACTAGAGATTATGCTCTGTAGCTGCATTTATGCGACAAGAAGTCACTGTTAGCAGTGGCCCCCGTTTTCCTTCATGGTGATGGCACTCAGCTTCGAGCAACCGTCGTGTTTTTGAAACGGTAAGAATTTGTTGAGCAAAATGTTTGGGTTATAACTTTTTTCTTCCTTGCTTACCAATGACCAGTTACAATATTTACAGAAGACTTCAGTCTCTATGGTGGATGATCTTTTATCTCTACTACCTGGACCGCAGTCAAAGGTTTTTCCTTCCACCTATTTCTTTTGTTTTTAATAAAGCCTCATTTTAATTTCTATTTATTTATTTTTTAAAGATTTTACTTAGTTATTTTTAGAGAGGGAAGGGAGGGAGAAAGAGAGAGAGAGAAAGAGAGAAACATCAATGTGCGGTTGCTGGGGGCCATGGCCTGCAACCCAGGCATGTGCCCTGACTGGGAATCGAACCTGCGATGCTTTGGTTCGCAGCCCGCGCTCAATCCACTGAGCTACACCAGCCAGGGCACCTCCTTCCACCTATTTCTAATTGGAAGGAGTAGAAAGTTATAAAAAGTCGTTTCTGTATTTTCTATTGGATTCTGCTGTTTGAGCAAGTAAGGGAAAGCATAAGACAAAATAATTTTTAGTTCAGGATAGGGTACAGGGCCCTGGAGAGACAGTTATATGGGAAATAATGCCTGTTAACAACCTATAAAAGGAGCTGGAGGAGGGTCAGGGGGGTTGGGGGAGATAAATGGTGATGGGAGGAGACTTGACTTGGGGTGGTAAACACACAATACAGTGTACAGATGTTGTGTTGTGGAATTGTGCACTCCTGAAACCTGTATAGTTTTATTAACCAGTGTCACCCCAATAAATCCAATAAAAAGAAAATAAACAACCTAAAAAATGTGGGGCATTCTAAGTTACCTGTGATAAGACTGTAACAGCTAAACTACAAGAGGTCATGTTGTCCACTGTGATAGTATCACCCCTGACTGGACATTTGATGGTCAGAAAACAACCTGGTAGTTATTGATGGACAGGCAAGTTTAACTGAAAAACCGTCACTAAGTTCAAATGCTGGAAATATATTTTGAAAAATAGATTAAGTTCGGAGAAATATGGAGCTAAGGTTTTCTGTCTAAACAGATTGTGGACAAAGGAGTTGGCAACTGAGGATTCTAAATTGAATTCTTTGAATATCGTTTTCATGGTAAGATGTTCTTATGACATGCGTTTTCTAGCAGTAACTTAAAAACCACCAAGTCTATGAGATTATACTCTTGCATTTTGAGGAAAGAGCCATATCAGGTAGCCATTATAGCCAAATTACAATGGTGAGATTTGAGACAAAGAAGTTGACAAACTTCTAGAAAAAGAACATTAACCCTTCACTGGTGTGGCTCAGTGGATTGAGTGCTGACTTGCAAACTGAAAGGTCACTGGTTCAATTCCCAGTCAGGGCACATGCCTGGGTTGCAGGCCCAGTCCCCAGTTGGGGGCGTACGAGAAGCAACCAACTGATGTATCTCTCACACATTGCTGTTTCTGACCCAACTCTTTCTCCCTCCCTTACCCTCTCTCTAAAAATAAATAAAATATTTTTAAAAGAAAAATAACATTAGCTCTGGCTGGCATAGCTCAGTGGACTGAGCTCAGGCTGTGAATCAAAGTGTCGCAGGTTCAATTCCCAGTCAGGGCACATGCCTGGGTTGCAGGCCTTGAACCCCCGCAACCTCACATTGATGTTTCTCTCTCTCTCTCTTTCTCCCTCCCTTCCCTCTCTAATAATAAATAAATAAAATCTTTAAAATAAAAATACTTTATTAAAAAATAAATAATATTAAATCATTTGTCAAAAGAGTTGTTGGACAATGGTCCCAATATGGAATATATAACGTGGTATTGTAATCTTATGGAACAAGATTGGAGATGGAATTAAAATTTCTTCAAGACCAAGAAGGGTC